AAATCTTTGGGGATTTTGCATCATGCACCTCAATCCCATTTATTTCCCGGGCCTTTCATGTCCATCCTCCATTCTTGTAACATCCCCAACCAAAAGAAAATTAAAATAGAGATTTGAAAAGAAAAAAATCTACCTTGCTGACTTCTCTGGGCAGCGGGCTGCTCCTCTGTCCACCTCAGGCTCCTAGGCACACACCATTCCTCTCCTCAGTCTTTCCACTCTCCATCATATACCCATTCACCATAGTGGCATCGGAAGTCGCAGTGTGTCCCACGGTGCACCCTTTTCCCCAAACAGCTTTACTTGTGAATGTCCATTGCAACGAGTCATTAGTCTAGTTCAAGGTCTCTAGCTTCGCTATACCATCAATCCTGGACCCTCATAGAGACTCTCAGGTATCTGCTATGGCCCTAAATCTCTGGGATCCTGCAGCTATGGATCTACAGGACTGGCCCTTCATGAGCTCCAGCAGCTCATAGATGGGGAGATGTTGGGGTTAGGATCAGCTCAAGGCCCTGGATCTGGGCCTGGGTGGTGGCTGAGTTGGTCAGTCTGCCAGCTCTCCCATTCTCACACCCTGGGAGCATCTCTTCCAGGTACCCAGGCGAGGGGTGGGGCTAGGCTACTTCTTATAGCAAAGTACAAACCAAGCATGGACTTTGCATATAAATATTCCTGCCTGAAGGCATGTCGGAGTCCAGCAGAACTTGAGGACAACTTAGCTTCACATTCAACTCCTCTCAGAGGAATGGATGGGGGAGGGGGGCGGAGAGGATTCGGGGAGCGGGAGGATGGAAGGGAGAGGGAACTGGGATTAGTATGTAAAATAAGATTGTTCTAACTTAAATACAAATCAATTTAAAAAAAGAAATGGAGAACCACATAGGGGCAGTTTCTATGAGTCTCATCAGAAACAAGTGCACAGGATATTGGATATCAGCCACTTTACATTTGCAGGAACCCAGGCCTCCACAACGTAAAAAGGTCTTCCTGTGAAGAACTCCCTTGTCTGTCTTTCTTGGTCAAAGGTCTTCTGCTGTCCGAGAGGCTTCCCTTTAGAGCACACTGTCCTCTAAAGTACTATGAGATGTGGGAGACTTAAATCACATTGTTCTTTCAGGTAAAACCTTTTGTGTGGGACAGTGACATCTATAGCATCTGCCTTTGCAGAAGTCCCATAAATAATACAAGCTTCCATAACAAGTAACCCAGAGACCTAAGTGACTTCACACATGTCTCTGGACTGTAGCAGCAGGCACACTTAAAACACACTATTTCTATATAAATTCTACTAGTCCTACATCTCCCATGCGGCCACTGCAGAGACGCCAGGGAGTGGAGCTCCAGCTGTCTGTCTAGGAAGAAGAGGAAATTCCCCTTCTACAACTTCACGAATGAATCAGGGGACAAATGTTCAGAAAGTAAGAGTTGGCTCAATGGACAGTTACAATCAAGGCTGCTTTTAGAGGAGACCTTTTCTTTCTTTCTCCCTATCTTGGCAGCAAATAATTACTGAGTCATTGTTCCCCCTAAATGTGATTCACCCACTGTCTCTTTGTCCTTGGTTTTATCTAAGAACAGAGCCCTGTGCAATGGGCCTGCCCACTCACCCATTCACAGGCATGTTCTGTTCCAAAGAGCTGTTCCTCAGGAACAGATAGTTAAAGCTCCCAGATTTGTCCACACTGGCGCAGATCACTGGAGTAGCTTAACGTGTAAATTATCCTAACCAGTATTTATGCGTAAGGCTGTACAGGAATAGACCCTTACCATGCTCTTCAGATGCTGAAATTGCACATTGTGGGCACACCCCACCCCTGTAAATCTGAACTGTATTTCCAGGTTTCAAAGGACACAAATGACAGTGGACTGGTTTCCCTGAAGACTGCACAGCAGGGCAAAACCCCAGCCCACTGTCACGATTGTGTCACCATAGCTGGGGTTTAACAGAAAACCTGACCTTTCACGTCTGTTTCTACACAGTCCCCACATTCTCTTTACATGGTGTGAAAACTTAACACTTTCACAGCACTAAAAATGTGCCAGGGGGCCAATGAGATGGCTAAGCAGGTAAAGGCACCTGCCACCCAGCCTGATGATCTGAGTTTGAACTCTCAACCTACATACTGGAAGGGGAGAACAAACTCCCCAAGTGGTCTTCCAACTTGCATAAACAAACACATACAATAAATAAATTCTTTTTTAGTAGCAAGAATAGCAGACAAAGAGATTCGTGAGTTAAAAGGAGTCAAGCTATTCTACTAAGAGTTAAAAATACACAGGAATCTAATCATTTGCATCTTGGGAACCCTAAACATTCTGAACTCAGATGACTCAGAAACATTACTAAGTACCAGAAATAAATAAGATGGTGGCATGCACATTAACTCAACTTTTGTTTTGCAGCATACAATACTCACCTAATTCTGAGAGATAAAAGTACCAAGATATAAACTGACTTCCTAAGGCCTCATCTAAGTAAAGGGAACAAAAAGACATTTGTTTGGTTTAACTCTGGTTGGTTTAATTTTGGAATGTTCGTGGGTTTTTTTCCCTTTCTGCCATGTCTCTCATAATACCACTTTCTAAGATGCAGTAATTGGACATCTGGTAGACCAGCATCTGACCTCCCCATTAGCCCCTGTCCTCAGGCCATATCTACCAAGGATGCAAGTGTCAGAAGGGGTAACTTTCCCAGAAAATCTTCTGCTATTCAAAGCTAAAATTTCAGCATCTACATTTCCTATGACAATAACACACACACACACACACAGAGAGAGAGAGAGAGAGAGAGAGAGAGAGAGAGAATTTATATGTAGTAAGAGAGTGGAAAGAGTATATTAAGTATATTAAGGATTATCCAAAGGATTGTTTTTGATACCTCAATAGAAGTTATTTAGACATGCCCAATAGTTCTCTCTCTCCTAAGGGTTGAAGACACAAGACATGAGCAGTAAGATGACAGATTCATCACCTCAGAGTCTCTTAACTCTTCCTATAATTCAAATCATATGTTACCTAAGAGTAGTTATCTCCCTCTCTGCTGAACAGTCTAACTATGCCAGTGAAGTGCAGGATTAACCATTTCTATTTTACCAAACGTGTCACAGGCAAGAAGCTCCAAATGACCTCATTGGCTTATAGCTGAACTGGATGGAAGATACAGGAAAGCCATTTACATCATTGTAAATGTATGTGTGATGCAACCTGTCCTTAACAAAAACTAACATAAAATTTCAGTCCCTCAAGCAAAGTTAGTTCTAGAGATCTGCTCTATATCACCATGCTTACAGTTAATAATACTGTATTGTACACTGGAAAAGTGTTAAGAGGGTAGGTCTTATGTTAAACATCCTTACCACAGTTTTGAAAGATGCAGCATTGGATGAAATCAAGACATGGGGATGTCAAAACCTCTTCAGGACATCAATGCATGGAAATCTGAGAGGTCTTTAATACTGTGCGCTTAGGGGACCCATAATGACAGCCTGCCTGGCTGGAAACCTTCCTCTTTATGTAATGATGAAAGGTTATTGTTAAAGACACTGGAATTAGATACTAACAGAGTCTCTTAACATCCTTTGTCAAAGTAGAGAGCCTCTAAGGGGTGAGTGCCAATCAATGGCTTTTCATGTCTGTAGACACAAAACAAAAGGAGTAGGTTTAAATTACAGCATAGAGCTTCCATAACACCCTAGGAAAGAGCCCTCTTAAGGGGAAAGCACTTAGCAAGAATCCTGATAAGTAAGGAAAAGTGGTCCTGCTTAGAGATCCTTTAAAAACATCTGTCCCTGGTATCTCTGGCCATCCATAGGGCAGGGTGGAACATTTGCCCAAGGTGTCACCAGCCATGAATTCATAAAGTGTATATGCTCCAAATATTTCTGAAAGCATTTTCTATAAAGCTGGGGCTGAAATTCAATAGAAAGCATCCCTATATCTATTTTTTGCTAGCATTTTTTTATTAGTTCAAATTAGGAACAAGCTTGCTTCCCATGCCAATCCCTTCTCCCTCTGTCTTCTCCCACCCCCCAGCCCTATATCTATTTTTAATGGTATTTGAAAGTAATTAACTAGTTCCCTGGAAAGCATTCTCTTAAAGGCAAATTTTGAAGTAGGAGGTGTCCACATGACCGTGGACTGTGCACAGGGTGACTCAAGCTCCCCTCTACTGGCGTGCTTTGGCCAGCTCACACGGGGCCACAGCTTTGCTAAACTACACTTTTCAATGTCTTCATTAGGCTGGTTGGCCTGTGATTGGATACTACGGTGTTGATCTTTAGACCAAAGAAGTTGGCAGACACTGACACTCAGGAAGGAGCTTGTTGGTTTCCAGTAAGCTAATAGTAATTAAAAGTTTACCAAATTATGTTTCCCATTGTGGTTAGAAAGAGCCATCTGACTAGTGGGAATTCTGACATTTGGTAAATGATATAATCTGTAGTTCCTCTGAATCCTAATCCTTGAAATTAATGTAGGAAGTCCTGCTTTCTGTCGTAGGTGTTGATTGGAGTGATGACTGTTCCTCACACACGTGTTGATGTTGATCATATCCAGGGTAACATGATACTAACAAGCATGTGTGTGGTGGTATCAGCAGAATCCTTCTTGGTTTTTAATTGGGGGACTGGAGAAATGTCTCAGAGGCTAAGAGCACTGGCTTCTCTTCCAGAGGACCTAGGTTTGGTTCCCAGCACCTACATGGCAGCTAAAAACCATCTGTAACTACAGTTCTAAGGGATCCAATGCCCTCTTCTGGCCTCCTCAGACATTGTACATATGTGGCACACAAACATACATGTAGGCAAAATATCCCATTTATTTGTACACATTAAATACAAATAAATCTCAAAATTATACAATAAAATGGCAATTGGTTTCTAAAAGCTATTATTGTACCTTTGAAAGCAATTCTTAGTTTCTGCAAGTCAAAACAAAATAAAGAACACTGAGTGAGGCTTTGCAGATGCCACTGTCCCCTGTCACCTCTTCCTGCAGCCATGGTCAATCCCACCGTGTTCTTCGACATCACGGCCAATGGCGAGCCCTGGGGCCACGTCTCCTTCGAGCTATTTGCAGACAAAGTTCCAAAGCCAGCAGAAAACTTTCGAGCTCTGAGCACTGGAGAGAAAGGATTTGGATATAAGGGTTCCTCCTTTCACAGAATTATTCCAGGATTCATGTGCCAGGGTGATGACTTCACACGCCATAATGGCACTGGCCGCAGGTCCATCTATGGAGAGAAATTTGAGGATGAGAACTTCATCCTGAAGCATACAGGTCCTGGCATCTTGTCCATGGCAAATGCTGGACCAAACACAAATGGTTCCCAGTTTTTTATCTACACAACAAAAAAAAAGAACACTGAGTGAAATAGAAATTGTTTGCCATTTGGATTATATGAGATCTCTATCCTTCATTAATAAATTTGCTGCCTGGGTAATTTAAGTTAATGTTACTAAATTTATAAATTATTAACTATATCCTGAAGGCTTTGATCCATATGTAGCTAAACCCTTTGTAGGGATATTAAAACATAGGTTCCTTGGCTAGGCCTGGAGCCTCAGATTCAATGGACCCAAGGTGCCATTCAGAGGCTTATTGCTGTTAATGCTGCCAGACTCAGAGCCACACTGTAAGACCCACAATTCCATCTCATCACCCACTCTGCAACGTCACATTTTCTTTGTGTCATCCAGTACATGTTATCTGTCCTTACTTTTGGGACATTCACTCTCAAAAACACCTTGGTCCCTGTGTTTCTATTGGTGCTTAACAAACAAACCAAACTTTGGTAGCTTAAAAAGCATTATTTTATGTTTAAGGGGTCTACGGTTAGCAAGTGCATGATTGGTGCTGATTTGGGACCACATCAGTGATCTAGACCTGGGGTAACTCTCGCAGCTGGGATCAATTGGCTGATATCATATCATCTCACATATCTGGTGGCTGGCCAGCTGTCAGCCACAGGGACAAGGGTGACTAGGCTCCAGGATGATGGTCATCCAGTTGGCTAGGCCAGGCTGTCTCATACGAGCTGATAAGATTCTAGGAAGTGTGGCAGAGGCACTCGTGGTCTCCCGAGACCAAGACTTAGAATTTCCATGACTTCTCTTGCTCTGCATTCTGTTGGCAAATGAGCCAGGAGGCCAGCTCAAACTCCAAGGAAGGTCCAAGGAAGAGGCGTTAAATCTTATCTCCTAATGGAAGATGCTGGTTGCCGAGTCACTTTGAGAAGGACATGACTGCAAGGAAGGGTGGCTGTCTCACTTGTTACTCACTTGTTATTCTAAGAAATGCCTGGACAAATCAAAATACCAGGATAAAAGCAGCTTGAGCCTCCAGCTGGTGTTCCCTTTCTCATTGCCACAACAATCTGTCGGAATCAACGCAAGGAAAGAGGGGTTTGCTTGGGCTCATGGTTTGAGGGTCTCATCCCTCATGCTGTGAGGATGTCTCAGTAGAGGGAAGCTGTGGTGGCAGGAGCCTGTTGCTGGTCACATGCGTCCACAGTCAGGAAGCAGAGAGAGAGGAAGGCCAGTCCTCAGATGGCTTTCTTGTTACTAGGACATGGAATGGTGCCACCCACGTTCAGAGTGGGCCTTCTCTCTTCATTTAACCCTAAAGGAAACACCTGTATTGTGCCAACCAGAGGTGTGCCTCCTGGGCTGATTTTTAACTCCCACCAACTAAGACCAGCTATCAGGCAGCTGTTTAAACATGTCTACATCTTCCCATACCTAATAATGAGAAAAGCACGCCCCAGAAAGCCGCTACCCATAGTCTTCTGACTTAGTCGGGGTTTTGATTGCTGTGAAGAGACACCATATCCATGGCAACTCTTATAAAGAAAGCATTTAATTGGGGTTTCAGAGGTTGCGTTCATTATCATCATGACGGGTATCATGATGGTGTGCAGGCAGACGTGGTGCTGGAGCTGAGGATGCTACATCTTGCAGGCAACAGAAAGTCAACTGGCTGTCACACTAGGGGAAACTTAAGCACAAGAGACCTCAAAGCTGGCCCCCACGGTGACATACATCCTCCAACAAGGCCACCCCTCCTAATAGAACCACTCCCTTTAGCGGCCATTTTCTTTCAAACCATCACACATGGGTACTGGGACCAAAACTCTTCCAAGTTGCTGCTGGATGTTGTTCACTCCTGGATGTAAACAGTAAACCATTCTGTTTGGCCTTGGAGAAAGAAGCCCACATAATATGTTTATAATGCATTTACAAAACATTTTTCCTGGATCCCTATACCTTTTCTTCCACTTTGCCTTTAAGTGTGTTTGATGTCTAGTAGCATTTCCCAAGGACGCTGCTCTCAACACATTTTAGTGAATCGTTTTCAAAGAAGACTTTGATCTTATTTCCCAGATGAGATCTCCAAACAACCATCTAACTCTAATTTTAGTATTAGGACGCCATTCTTTGTTCCTTCATAGAAATAACAGACACAATTACCACAGGAAGAGTCCAGGATATAGAGAGACTTGGTTACCCACATCATCTACTGAGTGGGGAATTCTTTCCTCTTTATTCTTTTACTATTGACATTACCCTTTCAAAGTGCTTTAAAACTATAGCCGCCCACTGGGATTTATTGGAACATGCACAAAGCCAGATCTTGTTTCTAGTACTTTCTGCTCTTCTAGGAAAACAATTGCTAAAGTTGGGCTCCATTTGGTGATACATTGAAAACAATTCCTAAATGAACACATGACTTGTATGATGAAGTCCTAGGTCTACAGGAGCAAATACATCTAATCATCCCTTCATTTTCCTCCCTTCATTCTTCCATCCCTGTACACACTATTTATTGCTGGAGACAGAACAGGACCTTGCATATGATAGGAATGTGCTGTGTTCTCTTTAACATTAAATGTAAAGTTGACAAAACCTAGAATCACCTGGTGGTGTGGGGGGGGGGACGACTCAACTGAGTATTGAGTCTATCAGACTGGCCTCTAAGCATCCCTGTGAGGGGTTGTCTTGATTGTTAGCTAATGTAGGGGGTGGCAGCCCATAGTGAGTGGCACCATTCTTCAAGCATTTTATGTGTATAAGTGTTTTGCCTGTGTGTATATCTTTGTACCATGTACATGCCTCTTGCGGACAGAGATCAGAAGACAGCATGGAATGGTCCCTAGAACTGGAATCAGGAATGATCATAAGCTTCATTGAGAGTGCTGGGAATTGAACCCAGTTCTTCTGCAAGATCAACAAGTGCCCTTGACCACGGAGCCACCTCCCAAGCCCCGGCTTTCACATTTGCAATCCCTCTCCTGACAGATGGGACACACCATCTCAACCTTTTTCATAAACTTTGGTGACAGAAACAAGACTGGAGATGAGCAAAGGCTCTGACGAGTGCTTGATTAATTGGGGATTTCAAATTCAGAAAATTCCTAAACTAAAGAAAGAGATGATTTGTGGGGACGATCTTCTATCTGGGCCATACTCTTCTTCAGTCAACACTTCAGTTTTGAATTTATGGGGGGAAGAAAAAGCTGCCTACATTTGTAGAACTGGATTAAGATAAGAGAAAATAGCTGTTGAATGTAACATTTGTAAAGAAAATATGGTAAGTTCACAGATGTGGAAATCCTTACCCATGACAAGAAAGTCGATTACACACCAATGAGGGCATAATAAATAAATACGACCTTCAAAGAGACAGAGAACTCCAAGTGTGAAGCACCACACGGTTTATTTCTCCTCATGTTCCACAGCCTTGTGAACTAAATAACTTCTTCATAGACAGTGCTGCACACTTGGGAAACGAGGCTGCAGCAGCCATGAAAGTTACCACAGCGAGACTGTGGCTCAGCCTACCAGCCGGTGTAAAGGTGGGAAAAGATTCCTACTCCACATCACATCGTGGGATAATAGACCTCACAGATGAGGGACTGTGCCCGTCACAGCTTGTCTTGTCTCATTTGGTTACTCACCCTGTGTCCAGAATGTGCTTTAAGCAGATAGACAAGCATTTTCTAAACTTGTGCTGTCCTGGTGCAGAAGGTCCGTGTCACTGAGAGGCCTGCACGGGGCTCTCCACAGATGGCTTTGCGCAGACTAAAGTAGTGAGCAGGGTATTGGAGACAGAGGTGCAGAGAAGCAGCCAGGACGAAGCAACTATGCAGCTGCAGCGGAAGAGATTCGGGCCCTTTTATACCAAGAACGAAAAGACTGTTGAGGAACACGCATCTTTTGATTCTTTTGATGCAACGGGACATTGCCCTGGCTGAGTTCCTTCATCTCCCTTGACCCCTGTTTTCTCACCCATAAAATAACAGCAGGGCCATGAAAAGAATTAAATAAAAGTGTACGGAACACTCAGTTCAGACTCGGAACTATCACGAGTGGTTAAATGCTTAGCGTGGTTGGTGAAACACAAACACGAGGATCTGTGAGGCGTGATCTGTGGGAGCAGCTGAGGAAACTGTGAAACAAAGGCGAGAGGGATGACTAAGATGAAGAGAGCAGGGTGTAGAGAGACTACAGGGAGATAACAGTGGGGCTTTCTTTGCCTGGGCCTGGGGCAGAGAGTAAAAGGGAGAAGTGGGACCCAGGCTGCCCTGCAGGAGGGCATGGGTGACCTGATGGGCTCTCGCTGCACTGCAATGCTGAAAGGAGCCCTCTAAGAACCTCTACCTGTGGTTTCTCCACCCTGATTGGAGCCAAATGTACAAGAGTGTCAGATATGACACAGCAACCATACAGCCCACGTGGTCTGTGCTCAGAGCTCCCTGTGAAAAGAAGGACGGACAGACCTGACAGAGAAGGGCATTAAAAAAATGGAAGTCAGATAAAAACAAATACTTTGATGATGGCTATATTTGATGTATGTTATTAGAATGACAACCAATTGAAGTCTAGACTGTCAGTCATTAAACTGCATTTAGTTAGCGTTAGTAAATGCAGATTAATGCATAAATATAATCAATAAACATTACTAAGAGATAGCACCATAGGAAGCCACCTGTGTTCACCTAGTCTGGTTCTTTGTTAGCAGCTCACATGATTAGCAAGTGACTAATTTTCCCTAAAAGAAAAGTAGATACTTCAACCCTTGCCATTTTTTTTTACCAAATTTATTTCAAAGTTTATGAACTAATCTTTGGCATTCTGAACCTGAGACAAGGAAGCATGAAGACATTGCTCAGGAAATATCAGCCCTGAGGAATAAGCTCAACCCCACCACATGCAAAGTCTCTCAAGCATGTTTCATTCTGTCTGTTTAGAACCCCGAGTTCCTAGTGTATACATTACCCTTCAGTGATGTATGGATTCACCTTCAGCTGTTGAAAATCAATACACTGAGTGCTTGGCCATGAACAGGACATTTGTCCTCCCGCAGAAGGCTC